TGATCTAGCCCAGATTTTGGTGCTTTCTTAGCCAAGGTTTTAGGGCTGTTTTAGCCCAGATTTTGGTGCTTTTTTAGCCCAGGTTTTAGGGCTGTTTTAGCCCTGGTGCTGAGGCTGTTTTAGCCCGGGTTTTGGAGCTGTTTTAGCCCGGGTTTTGGAGCTTTTTTAGCCCAGGATTTGGGGCTGTTTTAGCCCTGATGCTGAGGCTGTTTTAGCCCTGGTTTTGGAGCTGTTTTAGCCCAGGTTTGAGGCTATTTTATCCCAGATTTGTCCCTGTTTTATCCCAGATTTGCCGCTGCTCTATCCCAGATTCCGAGCCGGTTTAGCCCAGTTTTCAGCGCTGCTCTGGCCCGGGTTTTGCGAGTCTCAAGTTCAACGGCAAAGGGAGGGGGCTGGGAGCCTTTCCCTGGCCCGGCGCCCCCGGCGCGGCTCCTTCCCGGCGTTTTACGAGGATGTCGGGCCCTTCTCGCCCTTTGCTGAGGCCGCCGTGTGAAGCTTTTACAGCTCTGCCCGAGACTGCGCCTCCTCCCCTTCCCAGCGGCGCGTCCGCTCCGCTCCGCGGGCCAGCGCCGGGGGCGGGGAGCCCGGCCGCGCCCGAGGGACGGGGCCCGGCGTGGGAAGGGTTCCCGGTTTGGGGAAGGGCTCCCAGTTTGGGGAAGGGTTCCCAGTTTGGGGAACGGTTCCCAGTTTGTTCCATGGTTCCCAGTCTGAGGGATGGTTCCCAGTTTGGGGAATGGTTCCCAGTTTGGGGAAGGGTTCCCAGTTTGGGGAATGATTCCCAGTCTGAGGAATGGTTCCCAGTCTGAGGGATGGTTCCCAGTTTGAGCCACGGCTCCCAGTTTGATCCCAGTTTCCCACTGGTCTGTGGATTTCCACTGGTTTGGGGAAAAGATCTCTGGGTGGAAATTTGGAAAAAATAAAAGAATGGAGGGAGGGAAATAGAGAAAAAAACCCCTTAAAATAGAGGAAAAACCCTTTGAAATAGAGAAAAAAACCCCTTTAAAATAGAGAAAAAACCCTTTGAAATAGAGGAAAAAAACCTTTAAAATAGAGAAAAAACCCTTTAAAATAGAGAAAAAAACCTTTAAAATAGAGAAGAACCCCTTTAAAATAGAGGAAAAAAACCCCTTAAAATAGAGAAAAAAAGCCTTTAAAATAGAGAAAAAAACCCTTTGAAATAGAGGTAAAACCCTTTAAAATGGATTTAAAATCCCTTTAAAATAGAGAAAAAACCGATTTAAAATAGAGAAAAAACCCCTTTAAAATAGTGAAAAAAACCCTTTAAAATAGGAAAAAACCCCTTTTAAAATAGAGAGAAAACCGCTTTAAAATAGAGAAAAAAGCACTTTAAAATAGAGAAAAAACCCCTTTAAAATAGTGAAAAAAACCCTTTAAAATAGGAAAAAACCCCTTTTAAAATAGAGAAAAAAGCACTTTAAAATAGTGAAAAAAAACCTTTAAAATAGAGGAAAAACCCTTTAAAATATAGGGAAAACCCCCTTTAAAATAGAGAAAAAAACCCTTAAAATAGAGGAAAAACCCTTTAAAATAGAGAAAAAAAACCCTTTAAAATAGAGAAAGAACCCTTTAAAATAGAGAAAAAAACCCTTAAAATAGAGGAAAAAAACCTTTTAAAATAGAGAAAAAAACCCCTTTAAAATAGAGGAAAAATCCCTTTAAAATGGAAAAAAAAAACCTTTTAAAATAGAGAAAAATCCCTTTAAAATGGATTTAAACCCCTTAAAAATAGACAAGCCCCTTTTCCCAAGAGGACGAAGCGGCGCAGGGAGGGGGCGGGGCGGGAGCGCCCCTTCCCAAATCCAGCGGGACTGGCCGCGGTTTTACGGGAATATTTTTATTTTCCGTCCTTCGGGGACTCGCGGGGCTCGGGCAGCGCCGCCCCCGCGGCCCCCCCAAAATTGGGGGCAGAAAGTTCATTATTGGGAAAATCGGGGAGGGGGGGGTTGGGGTTTTCTGAGCTCCAGCTCAGAAAATGCAAATTTTGGGGAAAATCGGGAATTTTCTGCGGGATTCGGGTGGGGAAGAACTCCTGGATCCCCCTCCCCCCCCCAAAAAAAATCCCTTTTCCTGCTTTTTTTAGGGAATTTTTTGCCGAGCTGGGGTCACGGAGAGGCGCGGGGCGGGGTTTATGACGTCATATGTGCTGACGTCATGCATCGGAGAGCCCGGCTATTGGCTGTTCGCCTCTCTGGGGTTGTGACGTCACCAGGGAAAGGCTCCGCAGGGAGGAAAAATCTGGGGAAAAAGGGAAAAAATGGGAAAAAAACCCAAGGGAGAGCGCGGCCAAATATCCCAAAATTCCCTCATTAAACAACAACAAAAAAAACACCAAAAATATCAGTATTTAGGGCAAAATGAGGTTAAAAACTGGAATTTAGAAAAGAAGGAAAAGGCAGCCGGGAAAAGGCGAATTTTGAGTGGAAACCGTGGAGTTTCTCGGACTTTTCAGAGGTTTTTTAGGAGTTTCGGGTGGGTTTGAAGGCGAGCCGCTGCCTTGAAACAGCGAGGTGGGAAACAGAGGAACTGGCAGCTGGAAAGCCGGGAAAAGGCGAATTTTGAGTGGAAACCGTGGAGTTTCTCGGACTTTTCAGAGGTTTTTTAGGAGTTTCGGGTGGGTTTGAAGGCGAGCCGCTGCCTTGAAACAGCGAGGTGGGAAACACAGGAACTGCCAGCTGGAAAGAGCCGAGAAAATAAAATAGAAATAAAATAAAAATAGAAATAGAAAATAGAAATAATAATAGAAATAGAAATAATAATAGAAATAGAAATAGAAATAGAAATAGAAATAGAAATAAAATAGAAATAAAAATAAGAATAAGAATAAGAATAAGAATAAAAATAAAAATAAAAATAAAAATAAAAATAAAAATAAAAATAAAAATAAAAATAAAAATAAAAATAAAAATAACATTAAAAATAAAATTAAAAAAGGAAACCCCAATATATTTAACTTATATATTGAATTTCACCCCGTTTGTTCCACCTCTCCAACTCCAACCCAAATCATTTCGTTTTTACCTGGGGATTTCTCCCAGCGCATGAGCAATGAATAATTTGTGTTAAAACAGGCAAAACCCCAAATTTATGGGTACAAATCCACGGATTTCGGCACAAACCGACGCGGGGTTTAAGGCTGTAAAAACCACCAGCGGTGCAAACGGATTTTTTTGCGGGTTCTCAACGTTTATCGCCTTTTTCCGAGTATATTTTTATCGTTTTTATGTTTCCACGCGGGGCTTGCAGCGCCTTTAATCGTGCATTTCCACAGAATAAGAATACAGGAATTGGCAAACACAAAAATGGCAAAAAAAGAGGTAAAATAAAGCTAAATGTGCGCGTGTGCATACGGAATTTTTATACATAACCGCTCGCAAAAAAAAGGGGAAAATAAAAGGAAATTAAAATAATAATAATAATATAATAATATAATAATAAAAGTAGTACGTGCCTTTATAAATGGGTGCCTACGCAGGTCCTGTACATTCAATTTTGTGGCGTTAATTAACACGCGGGTTAATTGATTGATTTATTTATCCCCCCCTCAGCTGATCATGCTGCTGGAATTTGGGTTTTGGGGTCTGGGGTCTTTGGAGAGGCCTGGGAGGTGCCGGGCACGGGGGGGGTCCCCTCCTTGGGGGGCAGGGGGACAAAAGGGGTCCCGGTGACAAACGGGGGGTCCCGGTGACAAACTGGGGGATCCTGGTGACAAACTGGGGGTCCTGGTGACAGATGGGCGGGATCCTGGTGACAACCGGGGGGTCCCAGTGACAGACGGGGGGGTCCCGGTGACAAACTGGGGGTCCCGGTGACACGGTGACAAACTGGGGGTCCCAGTGACAGACGGGGGGGTCCTGGTGACAAACTGGGGGTCCCAGTGACAGACGGGGGGGGTCCTGGTGGCAAACTGGGGGTCCTCTTCACTCCCCGGGGGACAAAAGGGTGGTCCCGGTGTCCTGGTGACAAAAGGGGGTCCCGGTGTCCCCTCGCTCTGTGGGTGACTGACGGGGGACCCTGTGACAAACGGGGGGTGCCGGTGTCCCCTTCACTCCCCGGGGGACAAACGGGGGTGTCCCTGTGCCCCGCGGGGGTCCCGGTGCCACTCAGGGGCCCCGGTGCCACTCAGGGGCCCCGGTGCGGGGTCCCAGTGACAGACGGGGGGGGTCCTGGTGGCAAACTGGGGGTCCTCTTCACTCCCCGGGGGACAAAAGGGTGGTCCCGGTGTCCTGGTGACAAAAGGGGGTCCCGGTGTCCCCTCGCTCTGTGGGTGACTGACGGGGGACCCTGTGACAAACGGGGGGTGCCGGTGTCCCCTTCACTCCCCGGGGGACAAACGGGGGTGTCCCTGTGCCCCGCGGGGGTCCCGGTGCCACTCAGGGGCCCCGGTGCCACTCAGGGGCCCCGGTGCCACCCAGGGGTCCCTGTGTCACGGAGGGTCCCGGTGCCCCTGTGACAAACGGGGTTCCCGGTGCCCCGCGGTGTTCCCGGTGTCACGGGCGGTTCCCGGTGCCCCGCAGGGTTCCCTATGCCACGCAAGGGTCCCGCTGCCCCACGGGCGGTTCGCGGTGCCCGCGGTGTCCCGGTGCCCCACGGGCAGTTCCCGCTGCCCCACGGGCAGTTCCCGGTGCCGGCGGTGTCCCGGTTCCCCACTGGCGTTTCCCGCTGCCCGCGGTTCCCGGTGTCCCACGGGCAGTTCCCGGTGCCGGTGTCCCGGTGCCCGCTGTGTCCCGGTGCCCCACGGGCGGTGTCCCTGTGCCCGCGGTGTTCCCGGTGTCCCACGGGCAGTTCCCGCTGCCCCACGGGCTGTTCCCGGTACCCGCGGTGTCCCGCTGCCCCACGGGCTGCTCCCGGTGCCCCACGGGCTGCTCCCGGTGCCCTCGGTGTCCCGGTTCCCCACTGGCGGTGTCCCAGTGCCCGCGGTGTCCCGCTGCCCCACGGGCGTTTCCCGGTGCCCGCGGTGTTCCCGGTGCCCCGGGCTCGGCTCAGGGGGTGCCGCCGGCTCCGGCCTTGCCCTTGGCCAGCACCTTCTTGTCCTTGACGCGGCGGTTCTGGAACCAGATGGTGACCTGGCGCTCGCTCAGGCCGGTGGCGGCGGCGATGCGGCGGCGGCGCTCGCGGGTGATGAAGCGGCTCCCGGAGAACTCCCGCTCCAGCTCCCGCAGCTGCGCCTTGCTGTACGGAACGCGCTTCTTGCGGCCGCGCCGCAGCGCGCAGCCCTCCGCGGGACACGGGCCCGCCGCCTCTGGGGACGCGGGGACACGGGGGACACGGGGGGACACGGGGGGACACAGAGAGGTCACAGCGCGGTCACTGCCGGCCCCAAACCCCCCCGGCCCGGCCCGGTTTTGAAGCTCTGTGTTTTCCCTCTCCATATTAAAAACTAAAATATTAAAAACTCTATATTCTCCTCTTGGTATTAAAAGGTTTTGAATTTCTCTATCCTCCCTCTCCGTATTTAAAAACATTTATTTTCTGTTTTCTTTCTCGTGGTATTTTGAAGTGTTTAAAGTCCTGTACTCTTCCTTTCAAGATTTAAAATTTTTTTAAGTCCCTATTCTCCCTCTTGGTGTTTAAAGATTTTAAAGTTCTATGTTCTCCCTCTAGATCTTGGAAGATTTTAAAGCTCAGGATTTTCCCCTCTAGATATTGAAATTTTAAATTTCTATATTCTCCCCTTGGCATTAAAATGTTTTAAAGGTTGATATTCTCCCTCTAAATATTGAAATTTTAAATTTCGATATTCTCCCCTTGGCATTAAAATGTTTTAAAGGTTGATATTCTCCCTCTAAATATTGAAATTTTAAATTTCGATATTCTCCCTCTTGATATTGAAAGGTTTTGGAGCTCTGTGTTCTCCCTCTCGATATTTAAAATTTTTGAAGTTCTGTGTCCTCCCTGTCGGTTTTTAAAGGTTCGGGTTCAGCGCTCTGCATTTCCCAACTTTTCCAGCCTGGGAGCCGGGAATGTCACCGTGGGAAACCCGGGAATGTCACCCGGGAATGGCACGGGCCGGCCTCAATAATGTCATTTTCTGAGCCCCAAAATATCGTCATCTGCACCCCGAGAAATGATCAATTAAATCCCGAGAAATGATCAATTAAATCCCGAGAAATGATCAATTAAATCCTGAGAAATGATCAATTAAATCCCGAGAAGTGATCATTTAAATCCCGAGAAATGATCAATTAAATCCTGAGAAATGATCAATTAAATCCTGAGAAATTATCAATTAAATCCTGAGAAATGATCAATTAAATCCCGATAAATGATCAATTAAATCCTGAGAAAAGATCAATTAAATCCCGAGAAATAATAATTTAAATCCTGAGAAATGATCCTTTGAATTCTGGTAAACAAGCTCTGGAATTCTGATAAACGATCACCTGAATTCTGATAAATGATCACTTGAATTCTGATAAATGATCATTTGAATTCTGATAAATGATCATCTGAATTCTGATAAATGATCATTTGAATTCTGATAAATGATAATTTGAATTCTGATAAATGATAATTTGAATTCTGATAAATGATCACCTGAATTATGATAAATGATCACCTGAATTCTGATAAACGATCAATTGAATTCTGATAAATGATCAATTGAACCCCCATCAATCTCCTCCTGCCTCCCTGCTCGGAGTTGGAAATGGCCGTGATAAATTGAATTAAATTAAATTATTATAATAATTATAATACTTATTCTAATTCTTAACATTATTATTTTAAACACTTTTATCATTATTTTGTGACCCCCAACCCCCCAGGACATCCCGAACCCCCCTTCCCTAAACCCGACCCTGACCCCAAACCCCCTAAACCCGGCTCAGTTTAACCAGGACCCCAAGCCCCCTAAACCCGGTTTAACCCTGACACCAAACCCCCTAAACCCGGCTCAGTTTAACCGTTTAACCCGGACCCCAAACCCCCTAAACCCGGCTGGTTTAACCCTGACCCCAGCCCCCTAAACCCGGTTTTAACCCTGACCCCAAACCCCCTAAACCCGGTTTAACCCTGTCCCCAAACCCCCTAAACCCGGTTTAACCCGGACCCCAAACCCCCTAAACCCGACCCTGACCCCAAACCCCCTAAACCCGGCTCAGTTTAACCCTGACCCCAAACCCCCTAAACCCGGCAGGGTTTAAACCCGGACCCCAAACCCCCCTAAACCCGACCCTGACCTCAAGCCCCCTAAACCCGGTTTAACCCTGTCCCCAAACCCCCTAAACCCGGCAAGGTTTAATCCCGGGCCCCAAACCCCCCTAAACCCAGCTCCCATTAACCCTGACCCCAACCCTCCCTAACCCCGCCGCGTTTAACCCCTTCCCTCCCGCTCTACCTGCGCAGGCGGGTTTCAGCAGGAAGCCGGGCTGGCCCTGCTCCTTGGCACAGCACACCTGCCCTGCCCAGCCGTGCCAGGCCTGGGGGCACCCCCCGGGCTGCTGGGTAATCCCCCATTAACCCTGACCCCAACCCTCCCTAACCCCGCCGCGTTTAACCCCTTCCCTCCCGCTCTACCTGCGCAGGCGGGTTTCAGCAGGAAGCCGGGCTGGCCCTGCTCCTTGGCACAGCACACCTGCCCTGCCCAGCCGTGCCAGGCCTGGGGGCACCCCCCGGGCTCCTGGGCCAGCAGCCCCTCGGCGCGGGGCTCGCCCAGCACGGCCACGTCCAGGTGGAAGCCGCCCACGGGCGGGTAGGGCGCTCCGTAGCCCGGGTAGAAGGCGAACTCTGCGGGGCGGCTCTGGAAATCCTCGCCGCCCCCGGGAGCCTCCAGGAATTTGTCGCCCACCGGGAAGGGTCCCTGGTGGGCCGGGCCGGCCTTGAGCGAGCCGCGGGCCACGCGGCACGAGTAGAATCCGCTGCCGAAGTAACCGTAGGGCAGCGGAGCCGAGGAGGAGCCCGCAGGGGGCTTGGGGGGCTCCGGGGGCGCCTCCGGGGGGAAAGCGGGGTTCATCCCGGCCGGGGGAGAGAGGCAGGGAGCAAGAGGAGGAGGAGGAGGAGGAGGAGGAGGAGGGGGAGGCAGCAGCCCCCGGGGCTGGCCGCCCGCGAAGCCGCCCGGAGCCAGGAGCCCCTCGAGGCCCGGGGGCTGCATGGGGGGCGGCGCGGGGGCCGGGGCATGGGGCGAGGCAGCTCGGAGCGCCGGGGCTCTGCCCGAGGGGGGTCCCCCCGATCTTTTTAAAAGGCTGCGAGCCGCCCCCAGGGCTGATTTTTTTCTCCCCCCCCACTCCCGAGCCGGGGCAGGCCTGACGCAACGGGAGGAAGGCTCGCTCATTGGTCGTGGGGTGGGGGGAAAAGGGGGGGAAAAGGGAAAAAAAATCCAACCCCGCATCGCGGGGAAAAAAAAAAAAAAATCCTTCAGGCTCAATAAAGAGCTGGAGAAATTGCGAAAATGGTTTTATTGCCCGGGAGACGAGGAGGAGGAGGAGGAGGAGGAGGAGGAGGAGGGGACCCCCCCGGCAAGCAGCAGGAGGGGACTCGGAAATAAAAAATAAAAATCGTGCGGGGAAGGCAAGGGTGGGGAAATGGGGGAAAAGAAGCGAGAAAAGGTAAAGAACGGGACAACCAGGAACGGCAGGCCCTCCCTGGGCGGGAAAAAAAAAATCCGGGCTGGGATTGAAATCGCCTTTATTTTTTTTTATTTTTAATTTTTCATTTTTAGGGGTTTTTTAATGGTTTGCTGCTGCCCTGCCCTTCCCCGGGGGATCCCCCCTCCCGGCAAGCAGCAGGAGGGGACTCGGAAATAAAAAATAAAAATCGTGCGGGGAAGGCAAGGGTGGGGAAATGGGGGAAAAGAAGCGAGAAAAGGTAAAGAACGGGACAACCAGGAACGGCAGGCCCTGGGCGGGGAAAAAAATCCGGGCTGGGATTGAAATCGCCTTTATTTTTTTTTATTTTTAATTTTTCATTTTTAGGGGTTTTTTAATGGTTTGCTGCTGCCCTGCCCTTCCCCGGGGGATCCCCCCTCCAAAATCCCAATTCCGCCCCCCCTGGAACCTGAAAATCGGGAGAGGGGAAAATTTGATTCCCTGGGGATCTCCACCTGAAATATCCAAAATCCCGGGACCCGCCTCGGTTCCATCCCGGCCTGAAACCTCGTCTGGAATTATCGGGAACCGGGCAGCTCCGCCCGTTTGGGGAATTCCTCCCGGCCTGAAACCTCGTCTGGAATTATCGGGAACCGGGCAGCTCCTCCCGTTTGGGGAATTCCTCCCGTTTTGGGCAATTCCTCCCATTTTGGGCAATTCCTCCATTTTTGCCAATTCCTCCCGTTTGGGGAATTCCTCCCATTTTTGCCAATTCCTCCCATTTTTGCCAATTCCTCAATTTTTACCAATTCCTCCCATTTTTACCAATTCCTCCCATTTTAGCAATTCCTCCCATTTTTGCCAATTCCTCCCATTTTTTCCCCCTCCCCCCAATTCCTTCCAATTTCTGGCAATTCCCTTTTAATATTTTTTTTTTCCTCCCCAATTCCTTCCCTGGGAGCATCCCAAAAGGAAAGGTTTTGGGAAAGGGAGGTGGGAAAAGGAACCAAAAAATCCCTTTGGGGCTCCAGGAGCGCCGGGCAGGTGGAGGGACAGACGGACAGACAGACAGAGGGACGTGGGCCGAGGGATCCCACAGGTCCGGAAGAATTTGGGGTGAATAAAATAATTATTTCCCAGCGCCCGCTCGAAGCCACCCCGGTATTTTTAATTTGCTGTACACAGATTTTTTTATTTTTTCCCTTTTCCCCTCTTTTCTCGCCCAAAATCCCCCTGGGGAAAAGCTTGGCCGAAATTCCCCCAAAAGCAGCCTCGACTCTTTTCCCTCGTGTGGATGAACCCGGAGTTTTCTGCTTTTTGTCCCCAAAACCGCCATAAAATTCCCTTTTCTGCGGTTTTTTTTTTTCTGGGAGCAGCCGCGGCAGCGCTGGGGACAGAAACGCGCTGGAAATGGGGGTTGGGAGCGACGATGACAGCGGGGAAAAACCCCAAATATCCCCCAAGACGCCAAACACGACCCTCAAATCCACCCCTAAAAAAAAAACAAACCAAAACAAAACAAAAACCAAAAAAAAACCCAAAAGAAAAAATAAAAAACAAACCGCCATCTCTGCACTGGCCGAACCCCTAAAAAAAAAACAAACCAAAACAAAACAAAAACCAAAAAAAAACCAAAAGAAAAAATAAAAAGCAAACCGCCGTCTCTGCACTGGCCGAAAAAAAATCACACAAAAATCAAAAATTCAATTTCCACAGGAAAAAAACCGAGTAAAACCCCAAAAATCGGCCCAGCTCCAACCCCCCGAAGCCCCTTTTTTCCCTTTTTTTCCCTTTTTTTCCCTTTTTTCCCCCTTTTCCCCCTCCCCAGCCCCTTTTCCGCGCCCGGCGCTGTTTGCCGAGGCTCTCGCCGCATTCCCGGCAGGAAAAGGTCGGGCAGAGCCGAGGTCAAGGCCAAGTTGAAAGTTAAAAAAGTTAAAAAAAAAAACTTTCAAAAGCTCCGAGCCCTTCGGAGCCGCGGGGATCTCTCGGTCCTGGCCGAGATTTGGGGGAAAAACTCCGGATTTCTCCCAAATTTGAGGCTGAGTTCGGATCTGCGGCCGGAGGAATTCCCCGTGAGTGTTCAGCCCTTGAATTCCTTTTAATTAGTTAAAAAAAAAAACTTTCAAAAGCTCCGAGCCCTTCGGAGCCGCGGGGATCTCTCGGTCCTGGCCGAGATTTGGGGGAAAAACTCCGGATTTCTCCCAAATTTGAGGCTGAGTTCGGATCTGCGGCCGGAGGAATTTCCCGTGAGTTTTAAGCCCTTGAATTCCTTTTAATTAATTTGGTTTTTTAGCCCTGAATATTTTTTCTGTGAGTTTTCAGCCCTTGAATTCCTTTTAATTAATTTGGTTTTTAACGCTGAGGATTTTTCTGTGAGTTTTCAGCCTTTTAATTAATTTGATTTTTAGCGCTGAGGACATTTCTGTGAGTTTCCAGTCCTTTAATTCCTTTAAATTAATTTGGTTTTTTAACTCTGAATATTTTTCTGCGAGTATTCAGCCCTTGAATTCCTTTAAATTAATTTGTTTTTTAAGCCCTGAATATTTTTCTGTGAGTTTCCAGCCCTTGAATTCCTTTTAATTAATTTGGTTTTTTAGTCCTGAATATTTTTTCTGTGAGTTTCCAGCCCTTGAATTCCTTTTAATTAATTTGGTTTTTTAGTCCTGAATATTTTTTTCTGTCAGTTTTCAGCCTTTTAATTCCTTTTAATTAATTTGATTTTTTAACGCTGAATATTTTTCTGCGAGTTTTCAGCCCTTGAATTCCTTTTATTTAATTTGGTTTTTAACGCTGAATATTTTTTTCTGTGAGTTTCCAGCCCTTGAATTCCTTTTAATTAATTTGATTTTTTAACGCTGAATATTTTTCTGTGAGTGTTCAGCCCTTGAATTCCTTTTAATTAATTTGGTTTTTTAGCCCTGAATATTTTTCTGCGAGTTTTCACCCTTGAATTCCTTTTAATTAATTTGTTTTTTAACTCTGAATATTTTTCTGTGAGTGTTCAGCCCTTTTAAATATTTGATTTTTCACGCTGAGGATTTCCCTGCCCGTTTTCAGCCCTTTAATTGATTTGACTTTTAGCGCTGAGGATTTCCCCGCCTGTTTCCAGTCCTTGAATTCCCTTTGATTTATTTGATTTTCAGCGCTCAGGATTCTCAGCCCTTTCTTTGCCTTTGATTTTTTAATTTTTATTTTTAATGCACAAAGGAAGAAAATCCGGAGAGGGATCGGCCGCGCACGGACACCTCGAAAAACCAGGAGACGCAGCTAAAATTGGGTAAAAATCGGATTTTTTCCCTGTCCCGAGGAGCCGCGGTGAGCGGAATTCTCTTTTTTCACCCCAAAACCGCCCTTCTCTTCATTTATTACAATTTTTTCCCCAAATTCCTTTTAAACCGGGGGAGAATTTCGAGCAGCTGGAGCCCTTTAAAAACGAGATTTCCAACCCGACAATGAGATTTCCATTCTTTGAGGATTTCAGAGAAAATTTCAGTGTTTAAAGCGAGAACAATGGGTTTATCTTAAATGAAAAAAATCTGAATTTTTCACCAGCTCCTCTCTCAGTGACCGACATGGAAATTATCAAGGGCCCTTATCAGTTTGCAGCCGCTCTTTTATGATATTCTCCACAGGATCCATTTAATATTTATCCCATCTGGAGCCTGAAAAATCCCTGGAACAACTTTTTAAAAGTCTGGGATTTTATTTTATTTTTAAAGCAGTTGAATCTGAACCATCATCACAAAACACAAAGGAAAAAAAAAAAAAAAGAAATAAAAATCAAACCCAACCCAAACCCCAAAGCAGTTTGAAGAGGAGATTAAAAAGAAAAAAAAAAAAATAGGAATTGGAACTACTGAAAGGCTTCACGTTTGGAAATAATCAATGGCTGGAAAATTGGATTCTGGCTCTGGAAGGGAGCCCAGCTCCTCGCTGGTTCTGCCAAGATTTCGAGGAGCAAAAAAATCAAATCAAGGCCAACATTTTTGATCATTTTTGATAATTTTTTATAAGTTTTGATCATTTTTGATCTTTTATATCATTTTTCCCCCCAATTCTCTGCTCAGCTCCAGCCCCTCCCTGCCCTCCCCAGCGCTGCTCGGGGTTTGTTTCTGTCCCCGGTGCCGAATTTGGGTTTTCCGGAGCATTTTTTGGTGGATCCTTTGAACAGATCCTGGCAGGGGAACAGAGAGCCCGGCCCGGCCCCGCCCGGCGCCGCGGGGACCCCGGAGCCGCTCCCCTTGGGGGGACCCCCGACCCGGGGCTCTGCAGGATCAGGTTTGGGGTGGATGGGGGGGATCCCAGACCCGGGGGCTCTGTAGGATCAATTTTGGGGTGGATGTGGGTGATTCCAAAACTCCGGCTCTGTAGGATCAGGTTTAGGGAGAGATTTTGGGTAGAATTATTTTGGGGGGGGTGGGGGGGCACC